TATAAAAATATAAAAATATGAAAATATAAAAATATAAAAATATAAAAATATAAAGATATAAAAATATAAAAATTTAAAAATTTAAAGATATAAAAACAATATTTAAAAAAATTCAAATACATAAGAATCTGAATATATATAATAAAGAAATTTAAATATAAAATATAAAAAACAAAATACATACATTAATATCAATATATAAAGAATCTTTTATTCTTTCAGCGCAAACGCTATCAACCTTTATATAAGGCTCGGTAATTTCCTTTTACTTGTTTATTTGACTTTCACTTTTAATTACACTTTCATTTCTATCTCATATTTCACGCTACTCCTTCTTCCATTCGGCAGCCATGCCTCCTCCTGCCGCTACTATCATGGGCTACGATCCTTACCGGCTTACTTCGTCTAACCGCTTTAACTGGGACTCGGCTCAAAACGCCATCTTTCGCGATTACTGCACGCAATTCCCGACGTCCGCGGCTCGCCGTATGAATATTCGATCTTTGGTATACGAGCTCGGCTTCGGTCCGTACTGTCTTATCGAGACGAATGCCGGAGCTATCGTCGGTGATTTAATCCAAACCAAGGTGCTTTCGAAAGCCTTGCGCACTACCGGCTATAGCGAGCCACCATCCGAAGACCGAGAAGAAGAGAGTTTTGTCGCCGACGCCGAAGACATCGATACCGAAATGAACATGAGAATCGGCGCAGCCCAACCTCAGCAGCGATTTCTCTCATCGCCATCGCCTTTCCCTCCATCTCCTCTACCTTCTCCATCTCCTCCACCAACTCCTCCTATGCAAACTCTAAGCCAGACCCAAACCGACCTCCAAGCTCTTCTAGCTAAAATTGCGCTGCTCGAGTCGCAGGTCGCCAATACCGCGGCTGAGCCGGCCCGCAAGCCCAGAGCCAAGAAGCCGATGCTAAGTCGAGGATCGACCGCCCCGCCCACCGCCGCCGCCCCTCTCGATCTCGACCCCAGTCCTCGCACGGTCATGCATACGCCGGCCACCACCTTGCCCACCAACATGGATACTACGGCCACTACGGCCACTACGGCCATTTCCAACACAGCAGCCAACCTAATCAACTCGGCCAATCAAGCAGCCAGCCCATCTCCTCCGCCTTCGTACTCTCATCCACCTATCACCACCCGTCTCGGTCTCGGTCCTGAGTATACGAAAGAGAATGACTATTACGACGGCGGCAATAATATCGCGAACCGACATCTCCATTTCATCCTTCCGGCTACGGTCGATCAAGTAGCAGCACATGCACAAGTACATGCCCATCCTCGCTACGCTTCTGCACCTAGGAAATTCGAAGCTAACGCATTCGGAGCCGATGGACTCAAACTTGCTGAACGTGCTGATGGACACGCTGGACACGCTGGACACGCTGGACACGCTGGAAATGCTGGACATGCTGGAAATGCTGGGAATGCTGGGAATGCTGGGAATGCTGGACACGCTAAACACGCCAAACACGCCGACAATGCTGCACCCGCTCGACCCGACGCCGCCGCCCCTCTCCCTGCTTCTGCATCGACCTTTACTTTTAGTGCCCGTCCTACCCCCACCCCCGCAACCACCAACACGCGCACCACTCGCTCCGCCATGAAAGCCAAGGCGGCCTCTGCCCAGCCCGAGCCCGAGCCCGAGCCCGCACTCGCATCGACATCCGCATCCGCATCCGTCCCACCCGCAATTAAACGTGCATCCACCCCCGGACTCGCAGCTGCACCGAAGCCACCTGCGGCCAGCACGAAACCACGCCGTACTCCGACCCGCTTCAATACCAATCACGGCGTCGGTGTCGGCATCGACCTGAGTACCGCCGCTGCTCTGTCCCAGATGCGCGTCCAGATTGAGCAGCTCGTCGAGGCTAGCAAGAAGCAGATGGCTGCGAACCCAAGCGCTAAGGTTGAGACGGGGAAGGGAAAGCAGAAGAAAGAGGTAAGCCAGGAAGAAGACGATGAGGCGGAGACGACGGATATTAGCGACTTTGAATGGGAGGAAGTGGGTATGTATGCGACTATGGACTAAAGAAAGACGGACGAAAATGGAAAGAAAGAGAAAGGTTCAAATTGATAAAAGGCTCAGATTGAAATGGGAATTGGGATTGGGATTGGTATTGGAATCAAGATTGGAATTGAGATTGAGATTGAAATTGGGAATGGGATTGGGATTGGGATCGGGATCGGGATTGAGATTGAGATAAGGATCGGGACTGGGACTTGCACGGTTTGAACGGGATGCGAATTTTTATAATAATGATATCACGATTAACGAAATTTAAAAGACTTAAGCTTCAGTTCTTTTAAGTAATGAGTTGATTTTATAACCAATTAATGAATTCTGACCTTGAAATACAAAGTAAAAAAAGGAAACAAGAATCTCAAGGAGATTAAAAAGGTCTATATACATGGCCATAAGCGCTAAGCCTGAATAGGTGATCAGCTGACTGCAGGTAGTAAGGCAGGCTATCACAGATTTCTTATAAAGCGTAGCACGATTAATTATATTCGAAAGCAAGCCTTATTGCGTAACGAAGGTATATCCATATCGAAAGCTGCTCGGCGGAAATTATATTCGGTATTCGACGAAGTTCGAACGAATTTTGCTACGATACGTTCGTTTAAACTTTAAAGGTTTATATAAAGAAGTCATTCGAGCGTATAATCTCGATTGTAAAAAAACTACCTTAAGAAATCATAGAATCTTTAATTGAAAATATAAAAAGCGCTTCGCACTTACGGAAAAATACGCGGCTGCTCGATTATAATAGTATTTAAATTATCGAGAGTAGACGGTCGAAGATTAAGGAGAAATCGCTTAGTCGGATAAGTATTTATTAAGCGAAGTCGAAAAAAAGAGATCGAATAGGTTTTTCGCACGCTTAAAAATAAATAAGATCGTCGGATGATTTAAATATACGATGCGAAAAAAAATATAAAAGTAATAGTTTAAAGAGCCTTTTAAGACCGCGAAAAATCGAATTTTTATATTATAAATCGAGATTTCGAGTCGGAAAAACATAAGTATTCGATATAATCTTATTTCGAAGTCTTCGAAGCCGAATTTAAGCTAATCTTTCGAAAATTGCTTCGCAAATATTAATTTTAATAAGATAATACTTTAATTTATATTGCAAAGAAAGTTTAGCTTTAGTTCGGCAAAAATAAGATTACTTTATTAATTAATTAGCTACTTTTTTTTTCGTCTTTAATCCGATCGAGCACGTTTAATAGCATTTTAAAAAGAAGCTTTATTAAATATTTTCTAACGTTGTGATTGTTGGATCGCCGGTAGCGATCTCTTCGTAATATTCGTAAAGGTCGTGACGTCGTCAAAGTACTTCTGTCTGCCTCTTAAGACTTAAGGGAGCTGATTTCTTTTATATAATTAGAAGGACTCACGTGCATTAGCTAACTAATAGGTTTAGTTGTTAAGTTGAGGGTCCTTTAACTAGTGATATGCTAAGCGAAGCATACTAAATGGCTCGTAAACTATGGATTACGAGTGAGCTCTTTTTTAACTACTACTTATTAGCTAAAGTCGATATAAATATATCGACACGGGCAACTCTCTTTTTGGCAAATAGTTCCTTGCTAATTATTATATCGACCGAAAAAAAAAAGGTAGTATTAAAAAAGAAAGAGAAAGAAGAAAAAAAATCTTTAAACGCAAAGAACAAAGAAAATTTCTTTTTGAAATAAGTCCTTCTCTTTCTTTAAAAACCTTCTTCTTTTTTATATTATAATACCTTTTTATTCCCGTCACTTAACGAAGTGCTCGCAATGCTTTCTTTCGTATTAGCAGCCTTGAATAAAATACTCGTACTCGCTCTTAAAGTCGTCGAAATCAGCTTTGCTTAAGGTGTGCTAAGGAAAGATTTAAGAGGAGTGCTGAAAAGAATGCTAAGAAGAGTGCTAAGAGGAGTGCTGAGAAGAGTGCTAAGAGGAGTACTAAGAAGAATGCTGAATAAATAGCTCGCTAAAGCTCGCGTAAGCTTTGCTTGCTTTAGCGGGTCGAGAGCTTTTAATTGCAAACGCAATTGCTCGGCGAATGGTAGCAATTGCGGCGATAAAGGTAAAAGCAGGGTTTGTTCGCATAATAGTTGTTTTTAGCACGTTTTTACAAGCTGAATACAGCTTGTTAGCTAGGTTCCGATCATCTTTTAAGCTTGGTCGTAATGAGCTTTGAATGCTTTTAAGCTTTTTAACGAGTTTTTTGAAGCATTCGTTAATCGAGGTCTTTAAATTTTCTTTTTTAATTAATTTTAGCGAAATTTCCTTTTATCGATCGTATTTTACTTGCCGCCGTTGATTAGTTTTAAAATAGTCTTTTATTATAATAGCGTTTGCTTTAAAAGTAAAAAACTTAGCTTTGATTACGTAATCATAATAAAACCCAATTGCTTCTTTTGCAAGCATAATAAGAAAAGCAGCTAAGTAATCGTTAATTATTAATTCGTATCGGCACGCGTGGTCGGCAAAAGTCTTAAGCCGAGTATTAAAATCGTTTTTAAGCTTTAAATACTTTAGTTTTTAAGAAAACTCTTTGCAAATAAAGCTAATTCTTTCGCTTTCGGGTATAAATCCGCTATTTCGAGCTTAAGAAAATCGTCGTCGTTAAAAGCTTTCGGGGTGCCGTAAGTATGCTTAGCTATTACTCGAATCGAAAAAAGTTTGTTAGTAAAAGGTTGGTTTGGCTTAAGGTCTTTAGAAGGCTTATTTTCGTATCTAAGGTCTTTTAAGAGTCCGTTTTCGAATCCTTTTAGCGATTTAAAAAGGCCGTTTCTACTTCTTTCGTATCCGTGTCCTCGATCTTGATTCTTTTTATTAGTCTTTTTTAATTCCTCTTCGCGGGTTATCGTTTAAGTCGTTAAAGCTATTCGGTTCGCTTGCTAGCGCTTTAGCTTAGCGATATTCGTATCCTTAAGCTTGTCTTTAGCGGTATCTATTGCTTTAGTTTTGCTGCGAATCAAATCGAAGATCTTTATATTACTTTTAATAAAAGTAAAATTTGCTCGGAATCTTTTTAACTTTAAAAAGCTCGTCGTACTCTTTTGCGTGTTCTTTTGATAATAAAATCGATAGCTAAAGTAATGAAAGAATAAAAGAAAGAAGTAAATCGTGAAAACTGCGCTTTAACGATTGCTTTGCTATCTTAAGCTCTTTCATATGCCTTATAGCTTTTTCGAACCTTTCTTTACGCTATTGCGCGTCTTTCGTAATTATTAAGTTTCGAAAGTCGTCGAGGTCTTGCGTAATTGCTTTTTTTTAGCGTCGGAGCTTTTCGTTTTCTTTTTCGGGTATTGTGACAGCCTGCCTCGTTACCTGCATCAGCTGATCACCCATCCAGGCCTAGCGCCTGTGGCCATGTATATAGACCTTCCTGAGCTCTCTTGAGCTTCCTGTTTTCCTCTCCTCACTTTGTATTCTAAGGTCAGAATTCATCAGTTCGTCACAGGTATGTTTTAAAACTATTTCCAAAGTTCGTTGATGATTTTAATAAGACGAATAAAGCTTAATTAAAAAAACCTTTCGACCTATTTACTTTAAATCTTATCGATTTCTTTAGTTTATCGATTAAAGCGTGCAATAGTAACTTCGTTTTATTTAAAATCAAACCTTTCGATTAATGTTTGCTAAGCTCGCTGCTTTTTTTAGATCTATTAGTGCTCCTTTTCCATTTGTATAATTAAAGCTAGTCTATCAGCTTAGCTTTTTTGCTTTAAAAGGCATTAAACTTCTTTAAATAATAAGTAATCCTTTAGTTTAATAAGTAGCGTAAAAAAATTTTTTTCGGCCGTGTGCTTATTTAACGGCTAACGAGAATTCGTCCGCGGTTTATTTAGCAAACGCGTATCTAAATAAAAACTAAAGCTCGTAGTCTTTTAATCCTTTACTTTTTATATTTAAAAAGTCCTCGATAATTAATCTAGCTTTTGTATGACTTTCTAGCTTCGGATACGATAGTGAATCGAGGTTAAAACCAAAGTTCGACGCGTCTTCGTTTAGTTTTTCGAAGGTATTCCGAATACTTAAATCGTTCGATAATATTAAAAGAGGTTCCGCGAGTCTCGAAAAAGGATCCGTAAATTTTATAAAGATTCGAAGTGTTTAAATCCTTATTGTTTGAACTCTTGCTAACGTTTTAAAAGCTTTTTGTTTATTACTTTCGCCACCTCGAGGATCGGTTAACTGCATATTGCTTAGCGTCGAATCGTAGTATTATGCTATATATAATTCGCGTAGCTTTATAGCGTTAATAGGTTGTATATAAATGACTTGGTTAAGAATCACTCTTCCGTAGTAAATAAGATAAAGCGGTAGTATAAAAAAGCGACTTGATTCGAAATCGCTTTTCAATAGAAAGGTGTAAAAGTAAAGCGATAATATAAGCAAGCGACTTAATATGGAATCGCTTTTCTGTTGTAAAAAGAAGGAAGTATCAAAGTATAAAGTAAGTGATTTTCATTGCGGTTGCAAGTTCCTTATAGCGCAAACTTACTACTTTCATACTCTTCGAATAAATAAAAGTAAAGTCTTAACTCTTCGATCGATCTTAGCTTCTTTGTGATTAAGTAATGCTATTAGCGATTAAACAATCACTTATTAGTATTAGATCGCTGATAGCGATCTCTTCGTAATATTCGTAAAAGTCGTGACGTCGTTAAAGTACTTGCAATTGTAAAACACTCGGTTGTAGAGTTATTTGAATTCTATCTGCCCTTTAGGACTCAAGAGAGCTAATTCCTTTTATATGATTAAAAGGAATCATGCTAAGTAGCCCGTGAACTATGGTTCACGAGTAAGCTCCCCCCTAACTACTACTTACTAGCTAAGGTTGATATAAATATACCGACAGCGATCGATAAATCGAATTCGAAATACGCAAAGCAAAAGATAAAAATTTATTTGTTAGCTGCATAAAATATATTAGATCAATCGTTATTCGATAATTTATATTAAAGTATACTAAATAAAATTAAAGCTTGTATTGCTGTTAAAAGCTGGCATACTAAATTTTAAGGTTCG